ATTCCTTTCTACCCAAAGCGTGAGGATAACAGCGAAGCGATTCCCTTCTACCAAAAGCGTGCTGAGAACAGCGAGGCTATCCCATTTTACCCCAAGCGTGAGGATAACAGCGAAGCAATTCCTTTCTACCCAAAGCGTGAGGATAACAGCGAGGCTATCCCATTTTACCAAAAGCGGGCTGAGGAAAGCGAGGCGATTCCATTCTATGCGTAATCAAGTGCTGTGATTGGAAGTCCAATGGATGATAACTATCTTTGTTTATGCTGTATGTAGTAGCAATTCATTGGCACTGCTCGAGGAAGAATATCTACAAAACTATATTATATTGGATAGCATCGGTATTTCGCACTTTGCCGTAGGCTCTGTACAATCTGTAAGACTGAGGTTGGTCTCCAATGAGTCCGTAGACATGTCTCGGATTGGGTCTTGAGGACAGCACCGGTTAAAGTCGGACGAGGATTAAGAAATCTTCATACAGATCCAGGCCCAACCCCGCGCGTACACAATCATGGTCTCTATTGATGGACAAGTAGGATAAGAGTTGGAACAATTTGCCAAGGAGGCAAAGGATTCTCCGCTTGGACCAAGACCGAAATTTCTTGGCCGTGGCTTATCTTCACGACTTAGTGCTTACATTTGGAGATAACGGATCTGTCATAGACATAGAGGACCGATATTTACATCCTGGCCAGAGAGGAGCTAGAATCCTGCAATGTAACGTCGGGGATGTCGGGTCTGGAATCATTTCCGTACGGGAACCCAAAATCAACTTGGCGCAAGGATTGGGAAGGATATTCGCTCGTCCAAATTTCCTGATAGAGTGGGGTTTGGGCAGTGCAGGAGACAGTGGATGGTGCAGGCTTTCTTGCCCTCTTCAGAAAACTTACCCTCTGTCATCACTGTACCTTTGTTCCCAGTGATATCAGACCGATCCATCCAGGACCATTTTACACAGAACAGGAAAGCTTCACTCCATAGAGACCTGGTAGATCAAAAGCCACCCATGACCAAGTACGATCGTCTTCAAGAGCGAGGCAGCTCTGAGTACGATGACCACCATGAATTCGACCAAGCAGCTGCCAGACTCCCAACACAACGCCAGAAGCTTCTCTTGCGAGTCAAATACGCCCTCATCCTACTATTAGCTGTCTTCGGCTTTTTTGACTTAGCATACCGAGCATACACCTCTATCCCCTCACGCAGGACCATATCGTGCAACTGCGGAGAGACTATTGAAGAGGCCATCGCCAACAACTGCAGATACGACTCGTTTGCAGCTGCGTGGCTCCCTCCCGCCTGTCGAAATGATGAGTTGATAGAGAAATTCGAGGCCTCTGGGCCTAACCCGGATGGAAGCTGGACGTACTATGCAGACAAAAATAAGACCCAAGTCTTGTCCCTCGAAGAAGTGTCTATGCTGCCGAAGACTGGATCCCACTTCTTTACGACACACCACTGGCATCTTGTCCACTGCGCATACTACTGGAAGAAGATGTTTTTGGCTGCTGAAAAAGGCACAGTGATTGAAGCCCGATATAATAATTGGGCCCATATCGATCACTGCGAGATGATGTTCCTGAAGCGGGATCCATTGGATACTATTGTGACTGAGGCGGGTGTCGCGCTGCATTCGGATCAGATGGTTGTTGCAAAAAAGCATGGTCACAAAGGGCATGAGGACCATCAAATGAATAAAGAAGGAGACTACTAGAAACTGGAATGGTCGCTCCATTGATTCTTCTTACATATGTCTGTCGACCAAGGCTTGAATAGTAGTGGCAAATCATCAAATAGAGCCATCTTAGCTTAGCAAAGAACATGCCGTGATGCATAATCCGCAAAGTATTGAAGGATATCATGCTTTTGTCGCTACGTAGCCTAGATTTAAGTAGCCCCTAAATTGAAGTTTTGTTAAATGACTCGCACCCACTCCGCTCTCTCCCTTAGAAAGCCGACACCACTCCTTCATACTCACTACAAAATCCATCCACAGGTGCGACAACCAATACATAATAGGATAGAGCTGGTGTAGGTGCTCATGAGGGGGATTGGTGGTCCTAAGGTCTAAATCTATCATACAGAGATTCCATGGTGTTGAGGTCAGGTCACGTGGTTGCCGCCATAGCTCCCTATAGGCTCTGATATAATATCTAGGAGTTTTATGTGGACTCATTCTTATTATGATCATGAATATTCTTGACACTATCTAGAGCTAGCTTATCACTAACACCCAAACGCTCTGCCGGCCGGATCATCCTACTGGCCGGTCCTGATTAGACCGCCAGCCGGAATCCCTAGCCAACCTAATATACAAGGTTCTCGTTATATCCAGCTACATTCGACGATTTATGACCTTCTCTATACTCCCTTCAACAATAATACACAGTAGTTTACCGAACCCCAGCCGCCTCATGTCCGTGTCTACTCTTCCCTCTTCATCAAGGCCAAGCGGCTCTACTGCCCGTCGGCTGCATCCGTTGAGAACTGTCTCACTGGAGTTCCCAGTGTAATACCGAATGGATCGTCATCAGATGATTGGAAAGGGCATCGGATAGCGTGTTCCCATTGCATCCTGTTGAATGGAACGTCCATGTAGCTGAAATCTCCCACATATGTCATCCAGGATCATGATGGCACTTTGCAATTATCCGGATAAGTTGTGGTATGCTCTAACCTGTCATAGGATCATTGCCAATGCAAGCACCTGCGTTTATAGCGTTCGAAGATGCCGTAACTACAAGTAGTCTTCAAAGTCTCTGTAAGTCGGTCCACGAGCCCAGAGACCGCAGCAACCTATCGGTAAAAACTATAAGGCTGTACTTTGAATACATCTCAAAGAGCGATTCAAAAAAACAAATCCTATTGATATAATATTGTCCAACCGTGGAGTTCGGGAATTAAGGGTCGCTTAGAAACTACGCCGTTCTATTCGATAAGCTGGCGAGGGTCTTGCAGCGAGCGAAGGCCACCACCACACTCTAAATACGCCCTAGGCTGAAGCAAAATAGATAGTCCACCGTGACAACGCTCTCTCCTGCAAGACCCAGCGTCGCTTGTTCAGACGGGCATCTTCCACGTCGCGATGAAAATCATTGATATAGTCTGGACTCGGTGCAACATTTGGTAGTTTTAACCATACCACACCCGTCTTGCACTCTAGAAAACCGTCATTGAGCAAAGGGTCTGTAGCGGAGGTCGTAGTAAGGGTGTCGTATGACGAACCGAAATACACTTCCATCTTTTCGCGTTCAATATCCCAGATGTTGCTTTCAGGACAGTCCGCAGAATATGGGCATTCAGTGCAGCGATCTTCATGACGCTGAATTATGGAGATCGGCTCAATCCAGAGTAATCTTATTTCAAGCTCTCGAGTTACTGTGACGGCATCTTGAAAACTCCTTGGTAGTTTGCTGAAAACCAATGCTTGTCTGTCGAGTATGGAAATTGCACTGGTAAGTGCAGAAGCTGTGGCGACCCCATCGAAGCGATAAGGCAGCGAATTTTCCAATACAGGCGTAGAAACCTGGAGCTTTCATCTGTCCCCACATCAAGGGCTCTTCTAGAGCAAGACTAATACGGACCCAGATGCGACTGGACATTCATGTTCTTGCTCACAGGGTCGCAGCTAAGTACAGAACAATTTGAACCGAGCTGGACCTCTCACTTCCTCTAATATTGGGAGGCCGACTGGAATACCTCGAGAAGCGAGATCAAATGGGGGGCTAGCACATAATCTTGCGATATGCTGATTATCCTGCCGTATGGTTGAGCCATCCCTCAAGAGTCTGACCGCTTCTTAGTCAAGGGTACCTGCCCCTTTTAACCATTCAAACAGAATCCTACAGAGCTGATAACTCGTGCATGAGTCTGATAAGCGATAAAAGGTGATTGGAATCGAGACATGGCGAGATAGCCCTATAGAATCTGACATGGCTTTGAGGCAGGCTGTTGCCCTGATGAGTGGGATGCATTAATCTTCGTCAAAAGGCATCAACAAAACCGTTGTCTTGCTGACAAGTCCAATTGGCTGTCAGAGGCCTGCTCCAAATTCTTCCCCCCTTCCTCACTAGTATTTCGTGTCTTTCTGTATCATTTTGCATCAGAATTCCAGTCATCTCCTCTCCCCATAATAGAGTGTCCCACCAATTGACCGCTCTCTCCCTCTCAAATCTCCACTTCTCCTTCTCAGGTAAATATATATTCTTCCACCACCCCGTCCTCAAACCTGTGAATAATTGGCTATTTTCAAGCTTTAGATGTTGGAGGCAGTACGGGGCTCTGCGGAAGGCGAAGTCGAGAAGTTAGAACACTGACCAGAACCTAGGATGACAGCGAGAGGCTTGAGTGGGAAGGGGAGAATATTTGGTGATATCCAGTCCGGAACTACAGCGTGGACATAACTCCAAGTCTCGCCAAGGAGTCAAAAAAGCCTACAGCTGAGCAAGTCCTAGCGCATGCGTAGGGCATTTTAACGCCCTTGGCAACACATCCTCCGATGCCTCTCATTGGCAAAAGCTCCCTCTCCACATCCAAGTCTCACCCTCACAGGTATAAGTGTGGGTATGCCCAGTATTCTTGCTGGGTCTTTTCGACCATCTTGGAAGCTACTATACTTCCCTTTCCCATGGACCCCGCGGCATGTATCGCATGTGAAAGAAGACGAAGGTGCTTGATATTGAGAGGGTAAACCCCTAAGAAAGCAGACCCTACTTTACAAAGCAAACAAGATAGAAAATAATGGTTGAAGCACAACGACATCCCTACTAACAAGTTCCTACCGCGAGTAAATGTCAGAAGTTCTGTTGCTCCTCGTAGACTATAGTTCACAACGCCTCTATGCATGTGTCTCATTTCCAACATAGCTGACAACAAGCGCCCTAGATGACACACTCCACTCCCGTCCGTCCAACTGTCTCACATACTAGTTCCACCAAGCCCCAGCAGTAGTAACGACCCCTAAGGTCCTCCAAGAGGCGCAACACTCACTACCTCCGAGCACCGGGAGGAAGCGCAACCGCAGCCAGGAATCGGCCCGGAGCGGAAGTCGTCTGAAAGACGTGATGTGGAGACCGAATGCCCCTGCTAATTATGAACTGAGGAATGAAGGGTATGTCTTTTGGGACAGAGCACATCTTCTGAAATTTTCAAGGTCCCAACCTCCTCGTGATCCTATGCAGTACGTTTCTGTCTTCCCTCCTGGGTAAAAAATGCATTATTCACGCCCCGGGGTTGAAACCAAGCTCAAGAATATTCCTGTCCTTAGGAAGGTTCTTCGTGAGATGAGGGGCGAGATTTATGGCGATCGTTCCGATTCGACTGCTACACTACGGCAGTGGAGCTAGTTTCATGACAAGGAGCAGGCGCCGTGTTTCTTCCCGTAACGCTGAAGATAGTTGAGAAAACCTCCAGTTCCGCTCATGCAGGAACCGATTAAAACACTGACCACTCACTTAGCAATTGTCCAGTAAATATGGACTTGATCCAGCAATCAAACTTAGATAACTTCGCTAACGCCGAGCAGTGTCATCTCTGGCTCTCGTAGAAGTTCTTTCCATCAAGATCATCGACAGAGGGCATGTCCAAATTATGACTTCTCTGCCGACTCTTGCCAGTGCCTTGCCTCTCCCCCATTACTCCCCTTCAGGCCATTTTATATGTTTCTTTGTCCGCTTTAACGCACTTTATCTAGCTTAGCTTATCTAGGGTCTCGCGTCCCTCGAGATGTGACTTCATATTTGCGTTCAGATTGTCTCCATAAACGATCTTCAACGCTTTGGTCTCCATTTCAACATTTTTCTCAACGTAGTTGCAGGGTGGCCCCTCTTGACTGTCCTACAAACGACCGTTTAATGGTTGTTCACAGTGATTTTTGCAACTTTTAAAAGCGCACCGCTTTTAAAGAAGTCGGGTAAGCAAAACAATAGATATACATTTCGAATCAAACACGCAACATGCCTTCAGAGTTTGCCTATGTCTACACAGGCATGTTTAGGTTGTGGAATATCTGTCGTATTCCCATCTCATTATCACCACAGATTATTGTGCCGATATAGCTTGTCCTATTTGTGAGTCAAGGATAAAACACAATGAGTCTTAAAAGATCACTCACACCAAGCCAATCTCCTCGAGATCAACGAAAAAAATGTCGAACAACGAAGTACATGCCAAGGGCTAGGCTTGTGGTGGAAGGCGTGGATTTAGGAAGTATTATACTTACCTTCTATATATCAGTGACATACAGTTGTACATCTATAATACCTTACTAATGTCCTGCACAGGGCAAGTGACTCTCAAGTTCCAGTTTAAGCGTATATGGTAGCGAGCTAAGACCGCCCCATATTTACAGGTCAGGGACTTCGAAATATTATGTTCATTCATACGTCAGTCAATTTGAATCCGAAGACTATTCGTCTTCCCGTTCCCACAATGACGCCTCATCATCATCGGGGTCGCCTACATCCTCAGCATGCGGTATGCACTCCGTGATTCCATGGATCTCTGTCAAGCTGGATAGGCCACTATCTCTCGACGCTACCAGTGAATCAATCTGAGCATCATGCATACTGCATTCACCTCTCTGATATCCCCGAATGAGCAGATACTCCAAATTCGGTGGCAAGCAATCGACCAGCCTAAAGCTCTCTCTCCTTGCCAAGTTGACACCCTGAGCATAATACATCAGGAAGTTTACACCGAGACTCAATCGTTTCAATGTGCGGAACTCCCGCAGTGATCCGCTCTGCTCCCATAATATTTCCGGCAGCGTCCCTGTCCATACACGTTCTCCTGGACCATCGTTTGCCTCAAAAAGTTCATCCAATGTCTCAGCATCCACAATTTCAGGACTGAATTCACCAACATGATCCTCCGCGTCCACATCTAATATCTCCAGGGTTTCTCTGTGCGGGAAGATTGTGAAGAACAATACTTTTGGATTGAATATCGGATGACCTCCACCTAAGACTGCCCTTCCTCCAATAGAGTACTGAAACTCCCTTAGGACTTTGCACGAGCATACGACGTTAGTGAGGTAAAACGTATCCAGCGACGAATGATGAATGGAGATTCGACTAATGTTAGATGATCCGGGCTCCAGCCTGGGCGCCCCGTTCTCGTCTTCTTCTAAAAGGTCCGTGCTAACCGATTCTATAGATGGCAAGCGATGGACCAGGTGCATAGTTCCCATAAAGTCCATATTCCTGTAATGGCGGCCATCGTCAAGGGTATCGTCACCGCTGTTAATTACATAGACGCTTCGCACATTCTGCAGGAATGACATATCGTTCGGCGTCGAATTAACATGGCGAAGCATCCTCTCCAGAGGGAACTTGGCTGATTCGAAATCGTGGCTTTGTTCGGGCCAGTAAAAGCCTGTATAATTGAAGAACGGCGGCGGTGTTGCTAGTGACTCTAAATCTGGCGAAACAGAGATAAGCAGCGCAGTTAAGGCCTGTGAAATGTAGGCCCCTCGGCTCCCAGTTGAGCTATATGGAATGTTAGCTTGTTATGCGAGGGAAACTCGATTTGGTAGTCATTCTGCGGAGGGTGAATTACAAGTAGGGGGGAAATGGCTTTTCCTCGCCGGCTTCTGTTTGCATAACCATGTTGAGAATGCGACCGGTCTCTGAGCCTGTGAATCCTGCTTTGCAGATTGTGGCGCGAAGCAGCTGTTTTTCCTTGTCGCTTAGGTCTCGTAGCGAATTCGTCCGCTCTGTGTAGTCGTCATAGCATGGGGGACCCTTAGAGCATTCGATATGACGCAAGTACCGTCCTAGGCTAGGCCGTTTCAGAATTTCCATGAGCATAGCAAACGCCTTGTTTAAGCTCTTGTCCTTGCTGTCGATGCGCACTCGCCTGTACTTTTTGCGCATGGGCATGTCGCAGAGGGCGTGTAGTGAGCGGCATTGTATGGAGAGTGCGGCAACATCGCGATGAGAATGCAGGAATGACAGGATCCGATGATGAATCTCAACGGGCAGATCAGTTAACTGAGCCATTGTTATTGATACTAGGTAAGGATCGTCGGATCATTGGGGAAGGGCGGAAACGAGCAGTCTACTTATCCTTTCAAGTGGGTCCCTTTTTGTGGTTTTAGCGTATTTTATAGGCAGCGCGATGTTGCCTGCTTGCCTGATAAAGGTGCGGTGTTAGGGCTGGTCGGATCACCGCGCTTATTTCATCAGGACGAGCTAGCTAGAGATGGAACAGTTGGCCTTAGTCATAGCCGGCCTATTCCGCTATTCTACAATACAGGACGTTCTTCATGGTCGTGATTGTAAGTGGGGAGAAGCATGGATGTGCTTGTACTGTACTACAAATATCGAAATAGCGTTTGGTCATGCGTTTTATTAGAATATCCAGCGCCCTCGGGGTATCGTTGTCGGAGTGGGATGTAAATTGTAAGGGTTGAGACTGTTAAAGTATGTACTCTGCGACGCATGTAGTTGTTTTCCATGTTTTGTCAGTAGGGGACAGGAATTGAACAAACAATCAGAATAACTAATCATCTTGAACACTACAATACCTAGAAATATTGTGTCTGATATAGACCTTTTCCAATATTATAACTCATGCCCGTTCTCTGCGGCCCATGACAGAGGTGTCTGATCAAATTTAGAGCCCCAAGTGCTCCTTGCACTCAGCAACCAGGTTCGGTTCTCTCTGTTGAAGTACCTCGTAAGCTCGAGCTCAAAGGTCGACGTTGTTAGCCACTTGGATAAGAGCCCTGTCGGAGGCAGCTTCCTCATCAGAACGTGGCACGAGGGCTTGGGACGTGAGTACAATGTTATGAGGCCGCGACTCTTGCTGCACTACCTGCTCAAACAGTGGACGAGTGCTATTGATCGGGATCCGCGATATTTTGGCTGGCCTGGAAGAAGGCGAAACGTTGCCGCCTTGCACTTCTCTGCTATTGCGCCTCTTTCCCTCAGACCCTCACGAGAGGCGAACTTTGATCCTTGAAAAGAATCCCATATTTTCCTGAAAGAGGGGTGTCAAAATAGATGTAGATGGCTGTTAGGCAGCGAAGGTGAGATACCAGTGATTGGATATTGCGGGGCCAGGGTTGCCAATCGAAATAGCTCCCTTGAGTGGCAGGCGGCAGACCAATGGCCGCCCAAGGATATCATCGGTTTTATTAGAGGTGAGGATCCCTGGGAGATGCGCTTGCACGGCAATGTCCCTCCTGGCTCAAGCCAGTCACGACTAGACACTTTGATCTTGCCAGTTACCGTGGTGTTTTGTGTCTCACGCCAGCTAGCGTCCGTATTATCCAAAAGAGTGTCCGGAGGAAGAAACTGACGGTCAAAAAAATGGTAAATAATCTCTCAGGTTTTTGGTCAGTCAAAGCCGGACGGAGCAACGCAACATCACGACCGATATGCCAGCAGTTAAGAACTTCAAAGTGGGCTGGGTTCGTAACATGAAGACAAAGTTTGTTTCGGCTTAGATGATGCTGGAAAAGCATTATAAGGATCCGCTTGACTTAAAACGTGATCCGAACCTATACAGTTTGGTCCAAATCCACCAGCCGTAAAGAGTCGAAGATCTGAGTAACCTCAACAAACAGACCTCCCGAGAAAACATACTGCTTAAGGACAACCCAATCTTGGTTAAATTTAGCCCCAAAATACCCTTTATAATGGTATCTGAGCTGAAAGAGCTGAAATCACGAAGATATGACATTATCATGCGCCCGGACGGGTCGGTTATGAGGGGTATGATTCATCCAAATCTCAGATCAAATTTGCGCAATTGGCGACCCACACATTGCATCTATCCCAGGCCATGACGCTGCCGTTGCCGTTCGTGGCGTGCTATTGCTTCATTTACCCCACCCCCGGGCCGCCACGCCCAGTCCAATACCACCGAATATGACGGCGGCGTCGCAAATCACCATTCATTTCATACATGGTATTCTTTTTTGTCAGTGAAAGCTCCCCCTATATCATCCTCATAATGCGCGCGTTTTTCGATATTATCATAAACTCGAGCGCTGGTCAGGATAAGTTCTTAAAAGTTGTCCAGAATATCATTCGGCTCTTACTGTCCCTGTCGCTGCCTTGGAGGTACAGACGTAGGCTTCAGTGACTTGACAAATCATTTTTCATACGACTCCGTGCAGAGATCAGTGTCGCAATCAAACTCACTCGCTTGTGTTCTGTGCCAGGGCATGTACAGCAGATTGGAGATGCGATCTGTTGCAATACTGATCCAGCTCTTCATCGAGTTTTGAGAGTTCTCAAAGCACTTGGATATACAGCATTTGCAATAGGAGACGGTGTTATTTACGTGAGTTGAAATATCTTCTCTCATCCCCTTTCTTATAAGAAGAGAATCATCCCCGTCTAGAGATAGAACTGAAGAACCCAACTTTAGCTCTCCACCATTGCTTCTTCGATCCCACCGAGGTGGAAAGCCAAGGCCGCGCAATCATCCATGCACGCCCTTCTCCTTGCTACCATCTGTCAATTTTTGCAGGCTGCCATTTCTTTGACAAAGAATATCAAGATTAGACATCAGTGCATTGGTCCTTGCTCCAAATCAAATGATATTTCTCGATTAAACATAGCAAAAAAACAAGAATTACGCATTGGCAAGTCTTCCCTCACCCTTTCTTTAAGGTAAGTTCTTTTTTAGTGTTGCGTGGTTCAACTAACTGTGTTCATATGCTCAATACAGTCCTTCCCCTTCTAAGCGCAGCTTGTGACATGTTGTCCGCGATCGCCGGCGCTGGATACAAGGAAGTGAACGACACAACGCTGGGAATTCTAGGATCCTTGAGTGGCGGATCCAGCTTGACTTTGATTGTCGCTAAGTAAAAAGAATGCGGATTACATCGACGTCGTCGAAGGTTCTCTCAGACACATCACATGACCTGATGAAGCCCTTGATCTATCGCACCTAGTGTATTTAAGACGTACTTTAGTCCTTTGATTTGTAGTTTAACCAACTGGGATATCAATTAATGATACTTTCCCATGTTTTTATTGAAATATTGTTGTTAACAAACCAATATTCCAGAATATTTGCCTTGTCAGAGATAAATACGCATCATAGAGGGTAGAATCAGTTGACCGAGGCATGTTTCTTTATTATTAGTTAAGCTTATCTGCCTCGGCCTCGGCCTCGGCAAAGAAAGGTTAAATTCAACTTAGTTCTAGTGGCAAATTCCCCACAACTGTCTTTTTGCCATGGTTTTATATCCATAGCACTTTAGTTGATTATGTTTTTTCAAAGAGGGCTCTTCTAGCCTTATCATTGAGACATGTCTTTTGTGTGGCAGACTTATTGGTGAGAATGTCACTAGATCTATGTAAGTCCTCAACAGGTACCGAGGAGCAATTCATAACTTCAACACCAGTTACGGCATTAAACAGCGGCTATCTAATCCACAGTAAAACGCCTTGCCAACTCTATGTAGTCCTCCCCGGGCCTAGTCCCCAGTCAGGTGACAAATACAAACCTAACGTATGCCAGTCTCCCTATAACCCTCATTTCCAAGTCATAGAATAGACAGAATATACACACCTGACAGCCTTGGCGCCATGTCCACCCTTCAACAGCACATCTGCCTGACTCGGGTGAATCCACACCAACACCACCATCGTCGCTGGCATCAAAAGTCCGTCAAAGAGATATAGAAATGCCTCATGTGATACATGGTACACAGCATTTCCTTGGGTGTATCCAATTGGACGGGAAACCAATCGAACCAGGATACGCAAACTGCTGCCGTAAAGTGCGTAAATGTGCTTTTCCCACTCTATATTTGGTTGTTGAGAACGAGGTGTTGGACGCTCCATGTAACGACGAATGGAGTAAAGAATACCAGCTGCACCGTTAACCCGCCAATAATAATGTGGTCTCCATTATTGAGAGAGCTGCCGCTGTCGTCGAACGTCACTCCACACCCTACATACATCAGCATACTTGTAGGAGTGAGGTCAGGGATAGTGGTGTAGGTATAATGTGGCATATCCCATCCTTGCATTAGAAAAGATATCACGTCTCCGAGAACAAATGTCAACGCCAGCCATTTTATCCTGACTAGAGAATGTTCTTCGCCGTCGACAAGCCTGATGATGCGTCCGAGCTCCATGAATACACTGGCTGCAAAGAGAGTCGGTGAAATCAGGAGCATGAGGGTTTGTTAGATGTACGGCGCCGTGGAGGAGTCGGGGCTTTCATGACCAGATATCGCTCTCTAAGAAAGTGACAGGGAGACTAAGTTAGAAAGGGGTAATTAATTGAGGCTCGATATATGTCAATACCACTCGACCTAAAATAACAGCTGATACCTGGTCGTACCTTAGGCTATATATGTCCTACCAACAATATATATTATGCTGGAAGTGCAGACTCACGCCAATATAACCGACCCATTGAACTATGTATCATTAGCATGCTCATTTGTCTCTGCTTCTTTGTGGTAATGCTACTTACAGTACCAGCCAATGACAAACGGAATTAAATACCAGGTCCGTGTTCGCGCCAGTTGGTATGTATGTATTCCTTGCAGCAATGAAGAGGATGACGAATGAGACGGCTGCTCCAATCAAAGAATTGTGGTTGTAGTATTTGAAATTATTCTTATTGCTATCTCCCACTATTGCGAGATTCAGGAACAAGGGATGACTTTTGCGAATGGTCTAAGGCTAGGAAGGAAGACGAAGCCGTTTGGTTCAAACGATGTAGGAGTAACGGTACCTGTTGAGGACTTACATAGATCTAGTGACATTCTCACCAATAAGTCTGCCACACAAAAGACATGTCTCAATGATAAGGCTAGAAGAGCCCTCTTTGAAAAAAACATAATTGACTAAAGTGCTATAGACATAAAACCATGGCAAAAAGACAGTTATAGGGAATTTGCTACTAGAACTAAGTTGAATTTAACCTTTCTTTGCTGAGGCCGAGGCAGATAAGCTTAACTAATAATAATCAAGAAACATGCCTCAGTTAACTAATTCTACCCTCTATAATGCGTATTTATCTCTGACAAGGCAAATATTCTGGAATATTGGTTTGTTAACAACAATATTTCAATAAAAACATGGGAAAGTATCATTAATTGATATCCCAAGATTACTTACCTTTACTAGTATTTCCTGTTTTCTTTAGGGCTTTTATTATAGTTTTATTATATTTTCATTTCTAGCGCAGTTAAAGAAGGCTCTAGTGATATATAGCTAATATTACCATCTTATTATAAGTTTCAGGAAGATTTAAATAATATTTCTAAATATACTTGATTAAATCTAGAAGAAGCTTTATAAAGAAAGTGAGAGCTTATTCTTTTTTAGGTTATCTTAGAAAGTGTTATTCTAAGGTATTAAGATAAATATAAAACTTTTAGAAATCTTAATTATTTTATTACTGAGCTTATTAGAGTTAACCTATTATATCAGGTTATAGTATTGCTGTATTCCTGATTAGGATAAGGATCTATTCAGTAAAATAGAGCCATGATTTCTTAGCGTCTTATTACTATTCTTATAACTTTTTAGCAAGATAACGATACCATCTCTACCTGTAAATTAGAGATATATAAGGAAGGTGTTACAGACCCTTGTCAAGTGCATCTATCGGACGCGGAATCAGACGGCAGAACTAGTGGTACAACAATCAAGGAACCGGACACTAGTGCCAGAAGAAGGAAAAGCACCAAGGGACACCCAATTACTATGGTATATTGAGTAAATAATGTTAGTAAGCTCCACTGGAAATCACTACTTTATTAGGTAAAGATGAGTTTCCAGCCTATATACACGCCCTATCTAATATATACACGCATAATGATATCTCAAAATTTAGTATAACCACTATCTGCCTCAATGACTGCACAGTATCTTTCAGACATAGACTTTAGTAGATCTTGTAGAAAATCAGCTGGAATAGCCTCCTATACCTCTCTAAGGACTATCCTAAGTTCAGATAGTGTTATATATTCAGGGAAGTATGCCTGAAGATAGTTCTTCATCCAATTCCAAACCATTTTAATAAGATTAAGATTAGGTAAGAAAGATAGCTATCTAATTATATAGATATCATCTCTCTAAAGCTCTTAAATAGTAGATTAAGCACTATAGCCTGGAGCACTATCTTGTACTAGTTGAAGATAGAAATATTGATAGATATACTCTGTTATAAGAGGCACTATATATTAAATATAGCTTTAAGCATTTATTGTATCCTATTCCTTCTCCCAGAATACCATAGAGCCTTTAGTAGTTCCATGAAATGAGTCCTAAAATATCCACCCTATCTTATGTGGGCGCCATTTAATAATATAGTCTTTATGAAAGATCTTGTTGGAAATCTAGGGTATTGATAGCCTAGATATCCTTAGGCATGTGATCAGGGGAATTGATCAAGAGATAAGATAGATAATAGATAGATAGATATCGGGTAAAACCCATAGAATGAATTGACTAGATAGACATGACTATAGAATAATAGAATGAGATTGACTAAACTGCTTCAATCTGATCAATCTGAATCAATATAAATCAATCTGGTCTGTAGAATGGATGGAAATGTAGGCCTATTTATGTTGAATAGGTGTAGACCTTAGGCCTGCAACATATGATAAAAATAGCATCTCAAGAATGAGATAGAAATGTATAGAAATAATTAGGATTGCATGATATATCATCACATGATGTTGGATCATGTGACCTCCAGTTCAACAGATCTTATTCTTCTGGCGAGTAACCCATGTACATGTATGGCAACCTGGATTTATCTATATTTTATTAGACCATAGTATAGCTTTCTATTGACTAGAAGACCAGTTAAGATGATCTTATACCTAGAGAAGTTATTTCTACTTATTCTCAGGTGTTGAACGGGAGATCACGTGATCCAACATCATGTGATGATATATTATGCAATCTCGATCATTCTATATAAGATCTATGCATTTCTATATATTTCTATCTTATTCTTAAGATACTATTTTTATTATATGTTACAGGCCTAAGATCTATACCTATTCAATATAAATAGGCCTACATTTCTATCTATTCTACAGACCAGATTGATTTATATTGATTCAGATTAATCAGATTGAAGTAGTTTAATCAATCTTATTTCTATTATTCTATTATTCTATAGTCATGTCTATCTAGTCAATTTATTCTATGGGTTTTATCAGATATCTATCTATCTATTATCTATCTTATCTCTTGATCAATTCCCCTGATCACATGCCTAAGGATATCTAGGTTATCAATACCCTAGATTTCCAACATCTTATAAAGAGAAAAGCCATGAATTTATACTTTTAAAAATAAAAGCTTAGAAAAGAAGAAATAATATTATAGATTCTTATCTAGTATACCTTATTAAAGAAAGTGGATATATAAGGCAGAAAAGAGATAAGACTCTAGTAATAGAAAGACAAGATAAGGCTATCTAGAAAAAATAAGAAAAACCCTAAATTATATAACAGGATATACCGGATAGTATATAAGAAAGACTACAGTATATAGTATAAAGTATATACCATAATATAAGAATATACTATAGCAGAATAGATATATATGTAAAGGATTACTCCTGGGATTAGTAATTCAATACGTAGGATCTTCCCACTAGGTAAAAAGATCCACTATGATCAACTTTGATCGGAGTTGATTTCCCAGGCGCGGTATATATAGTATCGCAACTTGCCATCAGGGCCTTAAGCCTAAGGCTTACCCGTGACACTGGGCTAGACTTGTTAGGCCCAGCCCACGAAACCCGGCCCAACCCGGCCCAACCCGCCAAGTAATGGGCTGGGTTTGTGTATATGAAAGTCCATACCGGGCCGGGTTATTGACTATTCCAGCCCATGGGTCAACAGGTTAACCCGTGGGTTGTCAAGATATAAAATACAGTAAATATATTATTTACCTACAGTAATATAAATAAATTACAGTATCAAGAGACTGTATTCTATCAAGAATGTAAATCATTACTCTACTAGGAAAGGATCTACAGCTGTGGGCCCCCGCGGGTGGTTCACATATATATATTTTGACCCATGGGTGGTTTGCATACAATCTTGACCCGGCCCAAACCCAACAGGCTGGGTTGCGAAACCTGAAAAACCCGGCCCAACCCGCGGGCCTAACAAGTCTACACTGGGCTTAATAAAAACTGCTCTATTATTCTAGTCTTTATTTACAATTCTATTCAGAATCATACTAACTCAGCTGAACAGTCCCACTATAAAGCTAATACAGCAGGAAGATAATTAATATTAATAACTGTAATCTAAAAGTAAGTACTTGGTAACTGATTAGAGACTACTTAAGAAATACTTATTAAAATATTCTTCTAGTTTAGTAAAGCTCAATAAACAAGATATTCTCTAATATATAAATTATATAAATTTTAATATTTATTATTCCTATCAAATATTAAATATAGAGACAAACTATTTAAGATATATCACTTGTAAAGGTAAATATATATATATATATATACATATATTACTCCAACCGGGTTTTAAGTACTTCATAATCACTTAAAATAAACTTAGAGTCTAGAAAACACTGCTGCTTATTATTAATCTATTTATCTTCTGGGTCAGAGCCTAAATTAATACTAAATAGGTCTCAATCACAATCTAGAGCTTAAGATACCAGCCGGTAAGCTTTATTCCTTAAGTGCTTTAAAACTGATTATTAAGTACTTTATAAACAGTTCAATATCTTCTTCATATAGCCTTTGTCAGATTTCTTCACAGAATTTATTAAATTCTGAATAACAGCGACAAAACTTTGAGATTCGAGAGCAAGAGCTTTAATTAAAGGAGAAAGAAGAGTAAGTACAAGAAAAACAGCTTTAAAATAAGAAAAAAGAACTAAAGCTCTTAGAAAGACAGGTAAGGTTATAAAATATAAATTTATAAATTATAGTAAGCAGTTAACAAGTAGTTAAGCAGTAGTAAATAAATGATTTATAAATACTTAAAACTTATAGCTTAAGATAGTGGATATAGAGTATGTCATATATTGAAAAGTTTAGAAGCCTCATAATATAAACCATGAGCGGTACACCGCTAGGTATATCACATGACCAGTTTCGGGGCGCCCGACCTTTTGAACGAGGGCTGCTGACCTGTAACCTGGACAAAGCGGGGTACCACTGGGGCTATGTCAAGCAGAGCCGCTGAAAGATATTTATCTAGGTTGGTCCTCTCATCGAAAGAGCTTGTCATGTTGTTGATTCCTTTACACTGTTGTAACGCAGATATGTCAGCCATCGGCCGAATCACCAACTCTATTCTCTCCGGAACAAACGAAAACAACCTGTCCTTCGCCACGTTAAACTTTGACTTCTCATTGATTCAGATTGAAGCTCCAAAGGAGTTTGAACCTCTGGCATCTGCCCTCTCGACCCATCGTCGGCGAGATGCAGAGGAGGGTCAACCACATAGAACAGCCCGTAGACTTGGTGCATTGTTTGAGGATGTTATCCCATCTACTCCAAAATTGATTGACGCTTTTGGCCGAAGAGTTTCGCAAATTGTGCAAACTCCGGGTATTAATCCACAGGGTAACTCTACCCATGGACCCTTCGAGAAGTTTGTTGGTGCGGACGGAACCAGCCTCTGGGCTGCTGCCACATCTGGAATTTCCGCTATCGGTGTCTACCTTCTTTCGTGCCTGCTGGCTCAAGCTTGGGATTCGAAACAAGCGACCGCATTGTGGGTGGAGCTAGTCAAACAACGGCAGATGGAGATTCAATCGGCATACGAGAATAATCACAAAGTCTCCATGTCTACTCTATTCAGCGCGCGTCAAGAAATTTCAAGAGACGATCTAGCACGATGGGACAACAGCGCTCGATCTTGGTTGCGAAGCGCTAACCAGGCTAAGGCCTTCGAGTGCAACCAGCTCTTGCTGATCAGTAAAAATCTGCAACTTCCAATAGCCACAGCGACCTCCACTTACACAAGCGTGATGAGTGTCTGGAAGGAGACAATGATTGGCCTTGAAGCTCTTCTTTCGGGAAACCCAGTTGAAGTTTCCAACGGATCACTTTTCCTTGCTTTCTCATCCTGGCACCTTTTCCCGGATCTGATCGTACTGGGAACAACGCCTCCAACTTTTGTACAATTTCGTGATGTGCTGTTTCCACCAGGGGGGCAATGCACCGTTCGTCAGGAACAAGTGAGCACTGAATTCTCTGGAGGAATCAGGTGGTCGTTAGCTCTTTCACATCTGCAATACTACGGAGACCCAGTGGTCGTTCGAAACAACTCAGATTTTTCGAGGGTCACATTTCGAGAACTCGTGCTGGCTATTCTGGGGTATCTCTTTAAAGAATGGCAAGTTAGCGACCGTGATCAGAGTATTGTGGCCCAATGGTTGGTTGATTTGTGGACTTTGGTCAAAGATCACACTGGAACAGAGGATGGGACACCTTTCCGATTTGCATGGCTCAAAATTCTAGCTGACGCGGCCGGAGACTTCCTGGAGTCAGAGCCTAGGGCAAAATTGAAGAACACTCAGCTTATCCGATTTGGAAGAAGGAGAGGAAGGCTTTTTTCAGTGGATCAAACGGAGACGTTACTCCCTTTTTTTGGCTTATGCAATCCATTGCGATTAGCTGCCCTCTCTCAAAAAGATGATCCCAGTTGTGGGATTAGCTATTTCAGAGCGATGGCTCGGAGGATGGGTTTGTGTGAGAGAAATGCTATCATTTGTCACGCGATTGATGGATATCAGCATGATACGCCTGGTACAGCCACAATCTTCCAGGTCGTCACAGCGATTCCCCATGCACGCCAGGCAAGGAAGAGAGACTCTAATGGTGCTTCGGTATATGAGGAAGTACATGCCCGGTGGTTCATATCGAGGTATGGAAAACAATACTATATGATGAGATGATTGAAGTGAAGCTCATATTCAATTAGGGGAATTGAGGATAAAGCTAAAATTGGCCCGCTCATGTCTGAATGCATCAACGAGGGCGAGATCTGCTTCTCTACAGCAACCCGATTTGAGGTACACGACAAGCATCTTGACAAATTTATTTGGCCAGTTACCCCAAACATATACTCCTGCCGATGGAATATTTGTGCACCAGCCGCGGAGGTGTCGCGCACTTCTACGTACTGCACCTGTTTTGAATGGGAAACGAAGCACAATGGCGACAATTCTCCAAGGTCGTCGGCTAGGTTCCGATCTATAATTGGCGACTGGAGACTTGGACTATATGTGCAAGAAACAAACGACATCGATGAGCAACATTTCAAGGATCTACACAAACGTGCAAATGCCTGCGCAAAGATACCAGATAATATATTGCTCGGGGTTGAATGTTTTGCCCACACGAATATAAACCCAAGCTTATTGTCAAGCTATCTCAGTGTCATCACGCGCGTTGCAGATGAGAAGCAAGCTGCCTCTGCGGCCATCGAGCAGGACAAGTCACTCAAACGATGTGCAGCTGAAATGTACATGGTCGGGAGTCCATCTCTACCAGTGGGTTTCTGCCAAACCCTATTTACCCTCGAACTTGCCTCAAGAGTCTATGCCCACTTGCACGGTGCAACGATACCACTAACGGTATTATCAAAGCCGTTGTTTGATAGTGCGTGGGTGCCCAAACCAATCTGTGAGCCGCTTCATTTCAGCAGGCAGTCGAACTCTATTTCTCGACTCCAACCAGCTATACCAGCAACATTGACTCGCCAGGAAGCCTTTTCCTGCGTAGCAAAGTTTGAATCTGGGATGGTGGACCTGGATCCGGATGACCTCAACTCAACAATGGCGCTCTGTTCAGAAGATTCGATATTTGTCGCCGCAGTTGTGTTACTCGATCCCTTTGAACAGCCAGCAGCTCATGAATTACGGCGAATTGTGGGAAACATCAGTCATCCAGGTATCAGTCTGCTTGTTGCGCCTGAGGAGCCCAGAATTCGCAACCGCTCAAACCAGTACACTGCTGTGATTCATGCGTCGTATGATTTCCAGCGCGAAAACAATTTTGCGGGGACATCGTTGCACTTGTCCTTCACTGATTGGCGACTTCCTCTAGAAGCTGGTGGGCATCGAACAATCGATCAAGATGTTCTTGTAGTGGAATCGGTGATCTCCGTGCTCGATCGGGGCAGATGGGTCGCGGATTTGGACATTCTCTGCATTGATTTTGAGGCACTGTCGCGTGTTGTGAAGGATTGCGATCGGCATGATCACGAGGCTCATGATTTAGATTACGACTACACGTCCATCGATAATTGGGATGAGCTGCTTGATGGACCGGAGAATGTGGGTGTTTTCCGTGCTCACGGAAATTGGGCGGCCCGCCTTGCAGCTATCAGCATATTGTCACAGCGAGGCCAGGGGCATAGTATTGCTTTGTTTGGGAAAAATAAGGTCTGTTTTAAGTGCCTTGAAGCGGAGAGAGAGGACAATGCGGATTATTTGATGGATCATGAATCACCCCTACCCTCAATATGCATAGATTGAGGGTGTTCGGCTGCGGTAGTCAGCGTAGTTAGTTATAGAAAGAATATTGACTCATCATTGCCAAGAATCTGCAAAGGGGCTTTCTGATGCCGCAGGTTTGTTGCTAGCACCTAGAGTTTATCCCATAGATAGATATCTATCTCGTCGAGGCACAGACGAGATTGTCGAGCAGATAGTCGCAGAGCGCTTCTAACATCGGTGAGTCTTCGACTGATGTAGTTTGGGGGTGCATGAACACTTCCGCAAGTTTTGTGGAGTTTTTGATCGTTTGTTCAGCTATGCAGCCATTGAGGCGTGGTTAGCGACTGGCTTTGGTTCATATCATGAATCAAGTGTAGCTTCAAAAGGGATAGTCTTGGTACCATATTGCGCATGAGTCTAGCAATTGTCGAGACAGTGGCGCTGTAGGAAGGTGGATGTCACGATATAGGTACGGGGGCATTGAGACTGGAGCGTAAAGAGGTTTCGTATAATGTACGGTATTATACGTAATGCGAACGTTCCTGAGAAAAGGTTCTTCTTTTAGGAATGGATTAATTACAACACTATCTAAATATGGATTAGTAGTTTCGGGTACGACCCGAGAAACTGGTGACGCGCGCTGTAGGAACGTCGTTAGTAGAGAGCAGCTAATCGTGGAGGTAACAGAGTATGCAGCGTTGAGGTATAAGACAAAAGATGTGGTCAATCAAGACTTCACAATGACAGTGATTGTGAGCAACACATGACAGCGCAACACTTCACTCTACGACATGGGATCTGGGGATAATTGAAGGCCATTTCTCGTACTAGGGATTGTACTAAATCCGGTAGGGATGTCTTGCGTACAAGGGAATGGAGCTTGGTGGCTTGCGAAAGTCTATCAAAGCATTAATGATACACAGTATACCTCTGACAAGAGAGCCTGGATAGTGAATGGGCCAATATACTTTCTGAATTATCTGCAATTCATTTCCCCTAATAAGGGCAGTACTGGTATATGAGGTCAGGATTCTCATCTAAATTGGCGAGGATCAATCCTTCATATGAAAATAATGTATTCTGCACATTTATTTCTGATATATTCTAGTAGATTCACGGGAATCGAGAGGATATACTCCTTCTAGGGTGACTGATGTGCCTGATCAAGGCATAGCTACCACCGAACATGGTGAAGTAGCACTACCGTGAAAAGGCTTGGCCTGCGACCGCAGCTGGAGTCCCACCGTACTTTTTACGCTTGACTCTAACGACGATAGACCTCTTCCTCCTATCAAACGGCCTAGAAAGGCACGTTGTGTCGTCTGCAATGAAATGGAGCTGGGAGACATACCCGAGGACCAAATTGAGAAAGCATTTCGGGTAGTCAGAGACTTATTCTCCAAGGAAAACATATCAAATACCGAGATCAAATACTAGGGGAACTTTTTAGCCATAGTCCTTGAAGACAGCTTCACAGACATGACTAAATTGCCGCTGTTTCTATCTATACTACGAAGAGAAGGGACATCCATACGGAGATAAATTCCGAACGCGACCCATGACCCATCTACTGATATTGTGGATAACACCGACTATAATATCCTACGCCCAGGGATTATGTTGAACTCTGATCGAGATATTGAAGTGGGAACCGAATATCCCACCGCCTCCGGTGTTCTTGTGGAAGACCATAACGGGGTTAGATATATGACAGTTGCTTCTCGTGGATTTCCGCATAGCCCAAGGGCATTTCATACCTCTGCATCCGGCAGAGAAGTCGGTGAGATTATCATTGAGCTTACGCATGGGGGTATTGCATTCGCAAAGCTGGACTCCCAGGATTCATTTTGCAATGAGACATTCGAAAGCTCAGTTGACGGAGCGGGCACCACCTAGCTAACAGCATTGAAGCCGTCCAGGAGCATGAAAATAGGTAATCCGATATACATGAACAATCCCTTTACCGGTTATTCCGAGGGAACCTGTGGTCCCGTTACATTGCGCGTTCCCTCTGACGATCCTCATGTCCCATCTCCAACTTGGATCCAATCTCAGTGGCTCTGCATGGGACAAGGGTTCAGCGAAAAGCTTGAAGATGGGGTGTGCGGCTCGACGATCTAGACTACAGCAGGGGAAGTCATCGTATGCTTCCGCTACGCACCCGTATCAGGATGGTTCCAGGATTGCTATACGTCAGTTGCTTCAGAGAATACAATGAGAACGGGATATAGAATCTCTTCGTAGATTCTTTGAATTGACACAGGGAACAGCTTGGCGACAGGTTCAATACATCAAATAATTAGCTACTGTATCTGATTTGCTTAGTCTTATTTGCAAGTTTATTGAACTAGCGTCTTCTTGGCGAATTATGCAAAGTTTTCACATTCCACTTAGAAATACCAGAAGTAATAGTAATGGTAGTAGTAATATTCAACCCAAACTATAGACTAGGTTATAAACTGATTATCGTGGGAAGAATGAATATCGGGTGAGCGGCTTCATAGAGAAAAGCCAGCCCGAAATCGTATCAACGTAAGTTCGATTATTTGTAAACTACACCTCTCCTAACTATGTACATATTTTAGATTCTCTATGCCCGAGTTAGATTAGCCAATCTGACGATTTTTTTTTCACGCGCTTGAGGAGCGCTTCGCGAACTGGCTTTTCAGTCGTATCCGACGACCGTGATGAAAGAAAATATATCTATGATCATTTTAGTTAGTCCACACTCATTCCAACATATGATCATCCCCGCTCTCGGATGAAACAATGAGTTGCCAAGGAATGATGGACTTACGGAAACGGTGCCATGATGAGCGTTAGAAAGGCTAGTAGCGTAGTTGCCCAGTGGTATCCAAGACGGTCATACACTGTAGGCTTCGGTTAGCCGTCTGATATTGTCCTGACGAGGAAATATTTTGCTCTTGATGACCACTACTTGATAAGCTCCGAGCATGGAAGCATGGCTGATCAAGAGAGAATGGCCAGCAGATTCGAGATCGAGCAAGAACGTACTTTGAACGCCGAAGAGTGGAAAGGCGCCACCCAGAATGCAGCGTGCAAAGCTGTTTGCTGCCAATGCGCTAGCTGCATAAGTAGGATAGGCCTCCACCAGAAATGTGAAGATACCAGAGAATATAAGGACGGTTCTAGTGGAAGAGTAAGTTAGTTATGTTCTATGTTTAACCACAGACAAGTCCAAGCAGGATTGGTGGTCTTACCCAAAGCCGAAAAGGGCACTTCCGATAATTGGCGCAATCCAATGGACGTTGGGATATATAGTCCAAGCGAAGATAAATAAGCCAATTGTGACCATAGGGGCACCCGCGATGGCTGGAAAGAAGTCAGCATGTATACTTAAGAAAATATCATTAGTACTTACCAGGCGGCAAGCGCCATTCGGGGAGAAATTTCTCCGTGTTGTCTGTTCGCTCTCTATGTTTGCTTTCCAGGCGGCCGTAGACCCGACGCCATATGGGATCGCTCAAGACAGCAATCATCATTCCTACAAACATACCAAGGAAGCAACAACCACATTGCCATAACGTCATCCCATAAACATTAGTGAAGACTTGGTCGAAAGCCCCGAAGAAAAGGTAAATAATACCCAGGAGAATAGCAGAGAATATGCAGAGATTCAAGCACATGGGCTCCAGTGCGAGCAGCATCAGAGGTCTGTAAATCGACTGCAGGATCATATGAGATAAAGGTCGGTGAGCGGCTTGATTCTTGGTCTGCCATCTATCATCGCCCGTTGTCTTGCGCATTTCCATCGTCTTCCGCTCCAGCAGTCTGCGGATTGGTTAGCTGGATGGGAGGGTTGCTCATATGGTTTCCGTCAGACTCACACCGGATGAAATGTCTCTGGTACTAGGAAGAATATAAGAACGAGTAGAGCACCGGCCCATATTAGAAGGATATAGAATGTCCAGCGCCTAGTATTGCATAAGTCCGACATGGCCAAGGATTCGGAATATAACGTTGAAACGTACCAGTGACTGAAGTCATTGATGAAACCACCAATCCTGCCCTTCAAGTCAGTGAACAAGAAGCTTAAATCCTGACGTCAACACTCACAGTGGCCCCAACTCTGGTCCAACGAAAGGGCTAGCCGTGTATAGCATCATAGGAGCTGCCAGCTCGTGGCGATGAAAGACATCGCCAACTGTTCCACCTGCCACACTAAGGAAGGCACTGCCTGACAAACCGTTGAAGAACCGTGCAATAATCATAGTCTGAATATTCGTGGCCACTGCACATGGAATCAGCCAGATTAGGAAGAGCGTGAACGACGTCAGATAAATTATCCGTCGACCGTAAAGCTGACTAGGCGTTAGATAAAACAGAAAACGAAAACATATTATCGGATGACCAACCTCAGAAAGTGGCCCCAGAACTAATGGGCCAACAGCTAAACGTTTGATACTATTAGCGCATATTTTTATGTGTTTAAGGCCAATTTATCAGACCTACCTAGACCCCAAACAAAGATTGAAACACCCACTGTTGCTACTAGTGTCGAGCAACCGAATTCTTTCGCCATCTGATGATACGTAGTAGTATATATCGATGAAGTGCAGGTCCTGCAATCATGTTAGGATTATGGCTCATCGCAGAGAATGGCATCTCAGTCGTACATACACACAGAGGGATCCCGTGGATACGATCAGCACGATAAGCCATCGCCGCGCCAGACTCAAGTTACGAGGATTGGAAGGATCATCTTCGGACCATTCCACCAGGAAATTATCCTCAAGGTTGATGCTTTTTTCTGGACCCTCTTTGCCCATTTTAGCCCAAACCCGCTTCAGCACTTTCCGTACGAAAAGAGCAATGTACAGGGCATAGTGAATTGATATATCGCATATCGACCAAGGCTGGAGTTAGGCATTTGTGAGTCCGACGCTTAAATCCGCTATATCCTTGCCTATACTCCGTTGGATTTAGGACTATGGAGACCAACGGAAGCTCAGTACTGGCAGACCTTGGTCAAAGCAACTTCTATTCCGCAAGTCCTCCGCCTACTGACATGACTTCTCATATAACGTTGTGCAAACCCTCTCCATATCGAGATCCCACATCAAGCACTAGGGCACCTTTTCATAAAGCCTTATCTAGTTATAGCCTTCGTTTCCAAGTTCAATTGATGTCCAACAGTACACTCTCTATATATTCACGTGAACTATACGAACCTATTATTATCTGAACGAAGTGGAAAATTCGTTGTTTTTCCTAGGGCAATAAGAATGCAACACCGGTAAAGGGTCTAAACATTGGAGCTCTTGATATTGCTACTTAAAGGACCATGGTATCTGCAATTAGAGTGCCTGCTTGTTTCGATTCAGACACTGGGCGTTTCGCCCCCAAGACAGTCACGTGTAGGGGATACCTAAGGGTCAACGCGACCCTTCCGAAGAGTTGCCGTGACCTGTGTACACCAATCCACTAAATCTTAGCACGGCCTTACGGCTTAGGAATCTGACTAGTTGGCATTTTCACTGGGACATCGAGCAATATGTCCGTTCCCTCCTGTAGGCTCGATAGTAGACAAAATCCTAACAAAAACCGTAGATTAAAATGCCATATGGCTATAGATGCTGGGGAAACAACATTTCTCTTTTTACCCAACGCTAGCTATAAGGTCCGCATATCATATCAGCATGCCAGCCACTACCCTCGCCCTGTATCCAAATGAGCCCAACATCTCTTTCGATGAAAGCTACTACGTGAACACACATATGCCTCTGGTGGAGAAAGCCTGGAGACCAAGTATGGGTTAAAGGGTTGGCAGGTAACGAAGTTCAGCAGCAACCCCGATGGGTCGAAGCCTCCGCATTTAATCTGCGCTACCTTGGAGTGTGAGAGCATCGATACTGTGCGAGCTACTTTTGCGGGCCCTGAAATAGTCGAGCTCAAGAAAGACGGTTCAAAGTTCAGCAACAGAAGCCCTATCTTCCTCATTGGGGATCCAAGCCCCTGGGGTTGAATGGATGTCGGTTATGTACAGGTGAGGATGCCTCAATCGACTATCCGATGCCTGTGAAATGCCATATCTTGGGACACTATGTGGAGCTCATTCCTCTCACAATCATGATTATCTTCTTGCTATCTAGAGCTATCTCCAGGACTTTCACCTAAATCCGCTTACTGGCCTGATCATCCCACTGGCTGGTCCAATCAGGACTGAGAGCCGGAATCCCCAGCCAACATGATATACTAAGAGAAGGAAGTGACTAGCTCATAAAATACTTAATTAAAGGGTACCGACACTTATTCTTCTCCCTTATTTTATGTGGAATGCTCCATGGCTATATAATGGATGTTAATCTAAACCTATTTGTATATAGGGCATGGAATAAATTGGAACAATGTATGGGGCCAAAAAAACACCCATTACCAACCAGCTTACCGAATCAATTTGAATTATTAATCTAAGCATAATCCCATCTACCATTAGTAATTCCATACTTCTACCGTAAATAAACTCGGTATAAAGCTAGTAGTGATTCCTCTTCTAATAACAATAACTATTACTATTCAATCAATCGCCACAATCACATCTATCATCATGTCTCAGAACCAAGCTGCATGGATTGACGGCAAAGGCCAACTCTTCCAAGTGAGGTCTGCGCCGATGCCAAAACCCGGGCCGGGGCAACTGGTAATCAAGAATCAAGCAGTCGCTGTCGTAAGTTCATATGGCCGACCGAAGGGGCTGTTCTACGCCTTGCTAACCGGTAAAAACAGAACCCAGCAGACTGGAAGAACCAGTAAGCAGTCAACAAACACCAAGAACCTAAGCCCGCAAGCATACTAACATCTCAGGAAAAATGCCTCGTTCATTAAACGGTGGCCTTTTATCCTCGGAATAGATGTCGCCGGGACAGTTGAAGAAGTTGGCGAAGGAGTCACCCGTTTCACAAAGGGCCAGCGCGTGATCTCGTAGGCTATATGTGGATCTTTTATTCAGCGCAGGTTGACTGACATGCTGGGCTAGACACGTCCAGGGACTAAGAGATCAAGACCCGGCACAAGGCGCATTCCAGTTGTATCCGCTCGTTGAAGAAGTTTTCACATCTGGGATCCCCGATTCCATAAGCATCGAGCGAGGCGCTGTTCTGCCACTTGCTATCTCAACCGCAACATCTGGCCTCTATCTTCCCAAATATCTCGACCTTCCTTATCTACCTTCACCTGACCCTAAGCCGACCGGAAAGACCATTCTCATTTGGGGAGGAGCGTCCTCTGTTGGCGCAGTCACTATCCAGTTTGCAGTAGCTTCTGGGTTAAAAGTAATCACTACTGCCTCCCCTGCAAACCATGAGTTCGTCAAGGTCATGGGTGCTAGTGTCGTGTTTGACTACAGATCCCCATCTGTAGTGGATGACATTGCCAAGGAGCTTCAGGGCAGTGAACTTGCTGGTGTCTACGATGCCATTGCCGAAGAACCAAGCTTCGAGCCAATTAGTGAGATTCTGAAGCGTCTAAACCGCCAGGTCAAGGTTGCAGCTGTGCTGCCTTGTCTAAAGCCATCGGAGGGCTTTGACCCCATTTTCAGTATGTCATATCCCTTCTCTCAAATGATAGTATAATCTGCTAATCTTCTCAGTTTTTGGGTATGAAATCGCCACAACACCCAATGAGAAGCTGGGTGAAGCTATCTGGGCCAAGTTTGTGCCCCAGGCACTAGCCAGCGGACAGTTGCAGCCAAAGCCTGATCCTGTTGTTGTTGGTCATGGGTTGGAAGAAATTCAGCATGGACTTGAGGTGCAGAAAGCTGGTGTTTCTGCGAAGAAGATTGTGGTTACTCTCTAAATAATCAATATTTTATACAATTTAAGAAAGATTGTTATACAATCTAAGCCCTTCTAGATTTCATGGATAAGCTAAATACTCCACTACTTCATTCTCCTGACAGCAAAAGTAAAGAGCACTTTCTCCATATTGAATAACTTTTAGTCCAACATGGAGTTTCTCATGTAGAGATGACCAAGTACGCCTCCTTCCTCCAGGTTCCTCTCATAGCCGCATAGTTATATCCGTTTTCTTCACCAGCTCACAGGAAACATCCAAATGTTGCTGCTTTCATTCACCAGGTGCTGTTAACAATTTCTAAAAGTGACATACTATAAGCAGAGCACATCACATCATCTATAGCCGCTGTATAAAACACACCCACTTGTATGTGACGCTTCCGCAGCCATGCCACCATCTGTAGAGGATCCATGCCCCGGTCGGGTCTTTGCATTCAATAAATTATATACACAACTGTGTAATACATGGAGGCAACTATTAATCTTCCTCTTTCCTTTACGACAGTATTGGTTCTCCCCGAGTTGGACATACAATTCATCTAACCTCCCGGCTCGTGGCGGTTCGTGGTGGTTCGTGCAGGAAAAGCCAACCAAGAATCGCAAAGACAGGTCGACCGTGCTTAACGAGGTGCGTATCTAGTTTCAGATACAGCTGTTTGCAAAAAAAGGCGCAAATGGTCCTACTCTTCAATTGTAATATAAATGTAGATAAGACCACGTGACCCTAATGGCTTGGCTGATCGGTGATCGGCCAACCCCTGAAGCCTCACAACAACAAGAGGCCACGAGATAGCGATATAGAGAATTGAGTATCTATCGAATGGCATCCGATCCTCAGTAGGCTACGTGAGTGTAGCTGATACAGCCTCATTCTGCACTTCTTCCCCTGAAATCACAACAGTTTCTAAAGCCCTAAGCCTAAGCTTGATTAAGGGAGGCTCCGGAACAGCTATAATACGTGTAAGTTACCAGTAATTAAGAGACAGTGCATAAAGATTATGCTGTACGGACAGTCTGTACCGCTCCGTACCGATGTACTGGGACTACGGCCTTCGCAATTGCCCGCAGATATTTCTCCTACAATCCAACGACACAATCTGGCCATCGTATTCCCCCTGCTTCTTCCAATATACGTGATGTAGTATCCCACCAAGGAAACGAGATATACGAGAGTAATTACCTGATACTATCTTTTATATTAAATTCTTTACCATTTTCTAGCGACAGCACCCTCATCTCGGCCGACAGAAGCGAGCGGAACGCTTTGACCAGCGATATGGAGGCCGACTGGGGGTTTTTAATGTGAAGCCGACAGCGGGAGATGAGCACTGTAGATAGCATCAAGCTGTCCCAATGCAGTGTTTATCCTGCAGCCTGCAGTAGTCAATAACAAGCTGAAGAGCCCACACGGTCGGGGTGCCGACGCATGCAACTTCTCATGACTCGACGCGATGGCGGAATCGCACACCAGGATGGTATACCCGGAGTCCACCCACCAGCGGCGAAAAAAAAATCTGCCCGTGGCAGGTTTAAAAGGCGATGAAGGGATAGAGGAATGTGAAAGGTAGTTTAACTTTTGTCTCATCCTCTACCAGGTTTTGGACTCCGTATCGGCCAAATGGGCGAACCAACCGCCGCCGCCTCCGCCACGAAGGGCCGTCCCGAGAGAGATGTCCAGTCTGGGAACACAACCCCCTTCAAGTTACGGACATGGTACCGCCAACGCTCTTCAATGCCTTCGTCATCGGCGCCGTGGGCTTCTTAAACCCCGGCCTCTGGAATGCCATGTCCTTGCTCGGCGCTGGCGGCGTCCATGAACCCTACCTTGTTAACGCGGCTAACGCCCTTGTTTTTTGCCTTATGGGCTTTCTATGCCTTTTTAGCGGATCCGTTGCTAACTGCATTTGCCTTGCCTGGACTCTCTTTCTTAGTGCGGTTGGATACCCCGTGTACTCCGCTGGACTGTATATGAATAACTGCTACGGCACTGAGTGGAAAGGTAGCGCCGAAAGACAATTACGGACAAAACATGATGCGGTCGCGGAACAATACCGCGGCGTTGTTACAGGAGAGAAGGAATACCAGCAGCAACAACGAGTGGCTTATCCTGCTTGGTGTGGTGACGTGCGGTGTCTCCGCAGGCTTATTATGGGCAAGCGAGGGCGCTGTGGTGCTGGGGTTTCCGGAGTTCGAGAAGCAAGGCCTGTACATGAATTTCTGGCTGTGGTTCCGCATGGGCGGCCCGCTCGATGCCAGGCCATAGTAGGCCATGGTGCCGCCGCTCAGGCTGACTTCAGGTTGGCCAAAATAGTTTCGCTGACCGCCGATCGATGAGGCTCAGATTGTGGCCACGTGAGAGTCCCTTGGCCCAACCCCTCCTTGATCAGGCTGGGAATTCTGGAATCGTCAAAAACTCCAAATCATAATTTCAACCATCCTGTTTCGCCCTACATTATGTCAGGTACATCTCGAAACTCGCTATTATGAAAGGTCAAACTCGAAGACGGTATACCATCGCTTGGATCTGCCCTCTCGGCGTGGAATACAATGCGGCAGTGCAGATGTTGGACAAACAGCATAGAGAGGCACCATATATTGCTGGAGACTCCAATGCCTATCAGCTTTGTAGTATTCATGGGCATAATGTGGTTATTGTGGTCCTCCCTGAAGCCGGGAACGTACCTGCTGCTAGGGCTGTCGAGCGGATGAGCAGATCTTTTCCAGATCTGGAATTAGCGTTGTTGGTCGGGATCGGGGGAGGGGTTCCTGTGAAGACAGACAGCGGGGATATTCGGCTTGGAGACGTGGTAGTCGGTACACCTGCGAGCGTTCACCCTGGCACTGTGAGGTATGACCAGGGGAAAGCCGAAGCCGACCAGATCACCCGGACAGGCTGTCTCTCCCGTCCCCCGGCAGCGCTTCTCGGCGCGGTCAAAAAGCTCGAGGAGAGCAGAACTCGTGATCAAGATCCCATCGGCAGGAATCTCAGGCGGTTTGATACTCCTGACCTGAAACTATCCTATTCCTATCCGGGGACAAGCGAAGACCGGCTTTTTGAGGCAGATTATAATCATAGGGCCTTAGGTGCTCTATGTACCGAGTGTGGCTGTGATACAACCAGGCTGGTAGCCCGTGAACAGCGAAATGATGAGAATGGTTCGCCGTATGTAGTGGTACATCATGGGACCATCGGAACCGGCGAGATGGTGATCAAGGACGCTAGAAGGAGAGATGCCCTAGCCCAGCAGTTCGGAGCTATTTGTTTTGAGACCGAGGCAGCAGGAACGCTTTATAACTTTTCCTGCTTGGTGGTCCGAGGGATAGCTGACTATTGTGACTCCCATAAAAATCGTGAGTGGCATGGGTACGCCGCTGCTTCCGCTGCCGCATATGCAAGAGCACTTCTCGAGCACGTACCCTACCAAACCGCTAGAAGGTCCGCAAGCTACCCCGGCCCTTATTGTCACATTCTAACAGTGTATAGGTCGGCACATAACGAAGTTGCCGCGGAAAGGCAACGCCAACAGACAGCCACCTGGCTTAGCCCGATCAATTACGAGCACCAGCAGCGCCATTTTCACAGCATGTATATGAAAGGTACAGGACAATGGATTTTCACGAATGAGAAATTTAAAAAATGGTTGAACGAGCGCAAGGAGACCCTCCTCTTCTCAGGCCCCCCGGGAACCGGAAAGACAGTCATAACATCTGCAGTCATCCAACACTTGCAAAGACACTTCTCAGGCGAGCCCCTTACCACAATTGCATATATATATTGTGAACCCATCGGACAGGCTGAAAAAAGTCCACTCAAGCTTCTATCAAACATTTTGAAACAGCTCTATACCGGGCTGGATTTCATTCCACAGAACATAACCAAGCTCCATCAGCAGTGTCTGCAACGGCAGGAGCCACCGAAGTATGGCCAACTATTCAGGGCCCTGACTTTGGTTTCGAGCACCTACGAGCGTGTTTTTATTGTTATTGACGCACTCGAGGAGATCCTTGGCTCTGATGAGAACTGCCGGCAGTTTATCGCAACGCTAGTGGACCTTCAGGGGAACGCAAATGTCAATATATTGTTGACGTGGAGCGAGACCCACTGGGTCACCCATCAATTTCGCAGCAATGTTTCAGAACTTCAGATCCAAGTCCCAGTCAGCGATTTGGAGGCATATCTCGACCGGGATCTTGATCAAATGCCCTTCGGTTCTAGTGACATATCGGTCAAGCAGCGTATAAGAACTAGTGCTTTGCGAGCCCTGGAAAAGACTCCGAGGTGAGCTGTATTCATATCATCGCCTGTAAGTAGTATATAGGCTGAAATAAGATAGATTTCTGCTTGCGTATCTCTGGATTCAGCTATTTAGGAGCTGCAGCTCCGCAGCGGAAGCCATAGACACCTTGGAGACACTCCCGGACAGTCATTCTGATTACCAAGAGATTTACGCTAAAATCTTGGAAAGATTCGGGAAGCAAAATGACGACAGAAGGAAGATAGGCAACTGTGTTTTCGCATGGCTGTCATGCGCTTTGAAACCTTTCACTTGGTCGGAGCTCCAAATTGCCATCGCGATGCAATTGAAAGACAGCGGCATCACTTCACCTACTAGTCATGACAAGAAATCCGTCCTTTCAGCATGCCTCGGGTTAGTGGCTATCAATACAACAACCGATGTCATCCAGTTTGTACACGCAACCGTTTACGGGCATCTTGAATGGCCTCCTGAATGGCCTCTAGAAGCTCACTTCGGCATAGCTAGCGTTTGCATGACATATTTATCCAGCCGCAGACAATCAAGCATTGGGACGAACAAAACGGTCTGCACTGACAGCTCCCCCGCAGGTATGTTGCGTAAATATGCCGCTCAGAACTGGGGACATCATGTGATGATGTCCCGGAACTTTCCAACGGGCAACATTATTGAATTCATGCGGGAGATGGATATAGTCGCTGAAAGCAGCTGCCAAATTTTTGCGCTCAATGGGAGCCAGTATCATTCGCAGGCTCATGAGACTGCGATGACAAACATGCACCTGGCGGCATATTTTCGGTTGCACGACACATTGAAGGCTATAATCCGGACCAGAGAAACTCCGACTTGGTACCACGGTTTGTGGGATACAGTATGGGGAGGAACTCCTTATCTCAATCCCACGGACGATTGTGGCAGAACTCCGCTCTCGTATGCTGCAGAGAAGGGCGACTACGATATTGTGAAACTCCTCCTTGAAAAGGGTGCCACTATTGATCTAAAGGATACCAATGGAAGGACGCCACTCTCGTGGGCCGCTGGGGCCGGCAATGTTAAGATAGTGTCGGAGCTTCTGGAGCACGATGCCTCCATCAATACGCAAGACAAGTCACAGAGAACACCGCTGTTCTGGGCCGCAGCAAATGGCCACTTGCCGGTAGTGGAAAAGTTACTCGGGCAGGAAGGTCTCATTCCCGAAGAGCCTGCTTCAAGTGTCATTGCAACAGTTTGGAAGTCTCTGATGAAGGATCGCCCCGACGTCAACGAGGATGAGCCTAGCGGGAGTACTCCATTAATAAGTGCTACAGGTAATGGTCACTGTCACGTTGTGAAGTACTTACTGAGCACAAATGCTTCCACAGAGACAAAGGATATGAGTGGTCGAGCGGCGCTTTCATGGGCTGCTGGCAATGGCCATACTGATGCGGTAATTTCTCTCCTAATGAAGGGAGCATCAATCAAGGCTGTAGATAAGGAAGGGAGAGACGCACTTATGTGGGCAGCTGCTCACGGCCACCTAGCCACAGCGGAGTCCCTGATGGAAGGAGGAGCGTCTCTTACTGCGAATGACAGCGCCCGGCGAGCGGCACTTTCATTTGCAGCTGAGAATGGTCAAAGCGGCATGGTGACAATGCTTCTGGAAAAGGGTGCTTTTGTCGATGAACAGGACAACCATCGTCGAACAGCACTTTTGTGGGCTGCCGAGGGCGGGCACGTGTCGACCTTGAGGATACTTTTTGACCACGGTGCTATTTTAGATCACAGAAACAGCAGTGGCCGAACAGCGCTTTCATTGGCTGCCGGAGAAGGCCACTTGAGGGCGGCAGAAGCTCTAGTGAATATGGGAGCCAAGCCGGAATTGACCGATAACAGTGAGCGAAACGCTTTGTCATGGGCTGCTGGCAACGGACACATAGAGGTGGTATTCTTCTTACTGGACAGTGTCAGCCCGGAGTGGTTGGAAACCACTGATACTTCCGGGCTGACATTCTTCGCATGGGCGGCTCGCAATGGTCAAGCCAACGTGATAAGTCCACTGCTCGAACGACTGGAGCAGAACTTGATACGCACTGCAAATAAGCATGGTCAGACGGCCTTTTTCTTAGCTTGTCTCTATGGCCATACCGAAGTCGTCGACATCTTCCTGCAGCAGCGCGTGTTTAACGTATGTGAATCGGATCGTTGCGGAAACTCGCCCCTTTTAGCCGCAGCTTCGGGAAACCATGTAGAGGTTGTGGAGCTTCTACTAAGATACGGGGCCCCAATCAACACAGTGGGCCCGTATCGGCGAACGGTTCTTTGGCATGCTGCTGCCGATGGAAGACTCGGTGTTGTGCGAAAGCTGCTCGAGCACGGCGCTAATATGAGATTGGAAGACATTTCTGGTACATCGCCACTCCTTGTAGCCGTCGAGTTCAACCACCAGGATGTAGCAAGCTTGCTACTCAGCCATGGAGCTGATGTGAATTGTCCAGACAGCACAGGTCAGTTTCCTCTTCTTTGGGCTGTGAAGCATAACGATGTGACTCTGGCAAGAATGCTGCTGGCCCGTGGAGCTAAAGTGAACGGCAAGGACAGCGAGGGGTTGACACTGGAGGCCCGGGCTTATCGACATAATGAGCAGGGTAGAGAGCTTCAAGCGCTGATCAGAGAATATAGTCAGAGAGCATGGGGATGGTCCAGCAGTTCGGAGTCGATTTTTAGTGTAGATAGCCGTTGATATTGCGAATAATTTGACATTCCCTGGCTAGCCCGTTCCTCCCCAGGACCTATTCTGCTACTTCATGGCGTAAATCGAAGTATTCCTCACGATCTCTCGACAAAAATCCTAGAACATCCATGAATAGACACTTGCTTAGTCCCTCATGTGGCTCTTTTTATGCTTTTACCCGTACTAGTCATCAGACTCCATCATCCCAGCTCACAAAGTCCATCCTCTCGCCCACCCGCTAATAGATATTGATATGAATCTATACGAGACCACGTGATCCTAGCGGCTTGGCTGAATCACCAACTCTTCAGCCCCTGAAGGATTTACCTATTAGCAGAAGAAAAAGCAGAAGTGCTCAAGATAGTTGATACAGTCGTCCATAGAATTGAGTATCTATCGGAATGTTATCCGGTCCTCAGTAGGCTACGTACGTGTAGCTGATACAGCCTCATCCTGCCCATCTTTCCCCTGAGATCACAACAGATATATAACAACCCATTAAGGTTAAGAGGCTCAAAAGCGGCTCAACGCGACTTTGATGTTAGTTTACCGTTTCACCCTTTCCACCCCCGCAAGGACCGTCCCTTGTCCAAGAGCAGCACCTAGACCTCGCAGGGCACAACGCCTTTCAGGCCTAAGGCAACCAGGTTTAACCCACGAGGTCACCCCACGAGGCCATTTTCGCCCCCATTTGCACGACTCCGCGGCTCCAGAGTCAATTTGCGTAATTTTCAGCTCCAGCCCATCTCCGACCTCAGCGGCGAAGATTATCTAGGCTTACAAACACCATGTGCGTAATCATGAATACGCACACGGGGAACACGGGGCTCCCACAGAACCACGGTAGGTAATGCTACCTAGGCTACCTACAGCGAAAGTACGAATCTTTACCCTATCCATGTTGCTGCGAAGCGGGCCACTCTGCAGGCAGCGGCTGAAGAACCAGCCTTACGCCTTGTGTCTTGCTTACATACGCATCTTGGAAGAGGCGGAGATAACGAGGCCTAACTCCATGGAGCTTGAAGACAGCCTTGGCGCAACGAATTTTTAACAATCAGAGTTCGAACCCCACAGGCGTTGTTCCAAGAAAGTGGTGGGCCTGAGTGTTCGGAAACTGAGCATCATGCAAGGGTTGGACTAGTTTGCTTGAAAGCTTCCAGTGATTCACGGTACATTGGTACAGTGCGGTACAGATCATCTGTATAGCATAATCTTTATGAATTGTCTCTTCATTACTGGTAACTTACACGGATTATAGCTGTTCCAGAGCCTTACTTAATCAGGCTTAGTCTTAGGGTTTCAGAAAGAAAGGAAGAGTATAATCATTCTCGCCATTTTTGCAACCAGCTGTATGGGGGGGGGGATTAGACGACACTTTGACTTCTGCAACCAGCTGTAAGTGCCCGACTTGCGGGAAGGTAGATCGATCCTGTTGAAAACCGTATAATTGTTGTTGAACCAACTTTGTGGTTGTGGCTGCCATTGTGTGCCGAGCGGGAACTAACCCCGGCCTCATGGCGATCCTGTCAGCGGGTGATCCCGAAATCACCCCGAGGATATCTGAAAACTCTGCAAGGGAGAATGACGAGCCGACACTGGCACCAGCCCCTAGAGTCAGGACAAGGAGAACACAGGCACAAAACACAGCAATCCCACCTCTGGACTTTAATGTACCAGATGACACCAGTAACCAGATCACCAACCAGATGGTCTGGGCACTGATCACTAACCTAAAGAAAACCATCGCCCACCAAAACATTACCATCAAATCAGCCAGGACAGAAATCAGAGAGATTAAAACCGGGCAACAGGAGCTGCAGAATGAGAATACAAAGCTACAAGAAGAGATATAAATCCTCCAGTCCCAGATCAAGATACAGACCCTATCAATCCCAAAGTCATGGGCCACAGTCGCAGCTGTAGCAGCAGCCGCCACACCCAAACATCCTCTATATGTAATAATCCCACGGCCTTGGAAAGAGCCTAACTGCGTTCAAATCAGCACCGCGCCTACCCTGGACAACAATATCAATAACAATTAGTTCACAAGATTCCTACCTACTGAAGCCGCGAACACACACATCAGAACAGCTCTTCTGAATACAGAGTCCACTAAAGAAGTATAGGTAGCCGGTATCAGCTCCATAAAAACAGGATATGTCATCCATTTCCGAGATACCCAATCCGCTGAGACAGCCCGGAACAATACTAAGTAGCTGGAAGAGCTGGGAAATAACACTAAAGTAGTAAAACCTTGGTTTAGTATTATAGTCTACCGAGTCCCTATAGAGAACTTTAACCTGGAGGACAACAAGAAACAAGGAATAGAGAAAATCATAATAGAGAATAAACTTAAGAAGAAAGAATTCTAGATTAAAGATATCATATGGCTAAAGAAGAGAGACATATCTATAGATAAGTCTGCCTTGATAGAGATCTGGCTTGATTCACCGGAGGCAGCAGAATAGATCATTAACAATAGACTGTTAGTAGGCCAGAGATTTATTGAAAGTATTGAATTCTATCAGGTTAAACAGAAAAGATGCTATTACTGTCAACAATTTAGCCACCTAGCTTAGTTATATAAGAAGCAAGTGAAATATAGCTACTGTACAAGATAACATGACCAACACCACTGCTTCCCAGGAATAAGACCTAAATGCTCAGACTGTAATAGAGAATACCTAACAGGAGACTGGATATGCCAAGTATCTCTCAATCCCAGGTTATTCTAATAATATCAAACCTTCATATACTACAGTTGAATATCATGAAATCCAGACCGGGAATGGAGGTCCTTATCAATGATTACCAGAACCAGAATCTTGATATACTCCTGATCCAAGAGCCACCAATAACTGCCTATTAAAGCCATATTAACTACAGTGTATAGAGACTTTACTGACTAATCTATACAGATAAATCAGTCCGGTTCCGTAGTCTCCTCTATATAAACTGGAGGATCTTAATATTATTATATTATCAAATTTACTGTAATTACCCGGATGTTATGGCTATCAAAATCTGGATCCCAGAACTATAATACCTTATATTCTCTATCTATATTTAATCTATTACAATATACGAAGCACTGGAGGTCTCCAGCATATAATAAATCCTAGAAGGAATCTAAACAAGTATCCAACAATATATAGAAGGAAACAGCTGAGTAACAAAGCTTATCCTGGCAGGAGACTAGAACCGCCACTACCCTGTATAGAGCCACCGCCCAGTCCACTACTCTTTTATAATACACGCAGAGAAGCTGATTAACTTCTTCTAAGCCCATAAACTATAGTGATGCCTGGCCCCGGGCTAGCCCATATTCTGGTCTCTCCAAGAACCGGGAAAAATATCGGTCCTAGATCTTATATTTACTAACAATATAGAAAGGCTAATCAAGTGCTAACTGTATCACAATTACTATAGATCAGACTATCGCGGGATATACTTGGAATAGAATCTCTAACTAAAGTAAAACACAAAACTGAAACTAAAAAGAGTCTTTGATTAAACTGACTGGACTAAGGTAGGTCAAGGCATATTAAAGCTGATTAATCCATAACCAAGGATCCTGTCAAACCAAGATCTGGATTAAGTAGTTAAGAAGCTGATCTATATAATAATTACTATTCTGGACCAGCATATTCTATACTTAGTACTATCCCTGTACTCCAAGTAATGGTTCACTCCAGATCTTAAGGTCCAACAAACAGAAGTTAATTAAATCTACTAAAGATAGCAGGATAGATGTGTATTCCTAGAACCTAACCACCTAATAATAAAAACTCTTTTTAAAGAAATGTAGCAGAAAAGATAATAATAGATAAGAATAATTAAAAAAGCAAAGACAGGCTACTGGAGAGAGTTCCTTAATAAAGTAGATAAAGGCTAACTGTAGAGAGCAGCTATCTATATATATCCTTAAGATACTGACATGAGTATCCTAATACTCAAGATAGACACGAAAGAAATCACAGATAATTAAGAGAAGACAGAGACATTCCTGGAAACCTTCTTCCTAAAAATAGCAGATCCTGAGAATAAAGAAACTGAGTTCTCTATAGAGAAGCTACTATAGGAACTAATCACAGAACTGGAGATTCACTGATTACTTAAAGCGGCTAAGGGAACTACAGTCCCTGGTAAGGATAGAATCCCAACACTTATCTAGAAGTGACTATAGATATATCTGAAGGAATCTATTACCAAGATCTTTACAAGATCAGTGGAACTAGGCTATTATCCCAGTCAGTGGAAATAGACACGAATTATAGTACTGCGGAAACCAGATAAACCAGACTATTTAATATCTGGAGTATACCAGCCTATCTTGCTACTAAATATCCTGGAAAAAGTATTGGAAGCTGTTATGGCTCAAAGACTCTCCTATTGGGCTGAGAAATATAGACTGCTCCCGGATATACAGTTTAGGGGAAGACCAGATCACAATACTGAATAGGCCTTTCTGGTACTTGCCAATATAATTAATAGAGTATAGATATGAAACAGGATAGTCACACTGATTATGTTTAACCTAAAAGATATATTTAATAGAGTTAATAAGATCAGTTTTAACTCTTAATTATAAGCTAAAGATATTCCTTTACAAGCTTAACAGTAAATCTATAGCTTTATAGAGAACTGACAAGCTAATATTATATTTAATAACTTTAAGACTAAATCCCTACCGCTAGAACATGCAGGCCTTGTATAAGGATCTCCACTTTTATCTATTCTATTTAACTTCTTTAATTTAGATCTAGTAGACTAACCAGTGGACAGTAACAGTAGTATATCAGTATTTATTGATAACTATTTTCGCTGGAGAACCAGCTTATCAGCGAAGGAAAATATCAAGAAAATCCAGGAAGAAGATATCCTATAAATTAAGAAATAGGTATAATAAACCAGTATGTCCTTTACTGCTAAGAAAACTGGGCTGATTCACTTAACTTATCACAAGAGTGAACATGGTAAAGGACAGATCCTTATAAACAGCCAGGTTATCAAACCAGCCGACACGGCCAAGCTTCTAGAGATTATC